TACTTATTGAATAGTGGGCAATTGAAGTTGTTGTTCTTTTAAGAATAAAGAAAAACAACATTTACTCACTACTTTTAATGTGTGATGACAAAATCGCGAACTGAAAGCTGTTGGAGTAGAAAGAATAAGCAGTACAAGAGAGAAAATATTGTTCACTGTTCGAATATCATCTAAATTGTATTCATTCTTGTTAAGAGCAATAATGAACTCGGCAGCTTTGTTTCGCATTTCTGACAGATTTACACGATCATATTGAATAAGTCTGTCTTTATTATCATTATTAATAGGTGTTGATAGCATTAAATATTCGTCTTTAAAAAGAGGAATAGAGAATAAGCTAACACCGAGATAATCAAACAATTCGAGTATATCTAATACATTTTCATGTTCTTCAAGTTTATTAAATAGATCATATGCTGTTTTTGAACTAATAGAATCAAGAATAATCATAAACCACTTATAATCAATTGAAGAATTCAATAGATATTCACCATTTTCATTTTGTGCAGATAAAAACTTATTTGTAGAATTAACAACAGTAGATAAATAAGGTAAATGATCGAGTTGTTGTTGATTCAGATAAACATATTTATTAGAATTGTCAAAACGAAATGCATACATTACTTCTTTATTTGCTTGACTAATGTCAGCTGTTTTCATCATCTTTCGCAACGTCTGAGTAACATTTTTCTTATCAATAACAAATTTGTCGGCAATAACACAAGAAAGAAAAAAAAACATGCTTACTTCCTCAGTCGTTCTCCGAACAATGATGCACATACATGTTGCTTTTGCCCATCAAGCTTCATTTATGAATCATCATTTCATTTGATATTCTTTCTTTATACAATAACTCCGAAAATTAATCATGGAGATTTAATTTAGAATTTTTTCTTTAATGGTCATCCGCATAAAAGATTCAAATACTGGTTAGAATAGAGAAAATTGTCAACAATGAGGATCTGAGGAAAATAGAATCTTTACGATATTTCGAAAATCTACGATCTTCAGAAAACCGTAAGCCGAATTTTTCAGAGCGTAACCGATTCTCTGCAAAATGAGATATCTCCTAGCTCTCAACGACATTTTTTCATCGATATCAAGAAACGTTGAAAAATTGTTTTTTCGTCATTTCCTGAGGGAAAACTGGACAAAAAGAACTTTTAAGCTTCTCTTAATTTATGTAATTCAGTTTAAAAATATCGTGGAGATTTCGGAAATATGTCATTTTATAGAGAATTAGTTGTTGTCGCCCCGTGCAATCAAAATAAGCTTTTATTCCTCGGATTCTAGATGCTGAAACACTAGGTTTAAGATTTTCTAGAGAACTCGGATGTTTGAAATGCTGCGAATATTTTATTTTCCTCAGATCCTGTTTAGAAACAACTTTCTTTATCCGAATTACCATAATTTATAGCAGCAAGAAAAAGTTTGGTTTTCATTTTTTTATCGACGTTTCAGTAAAATTATATTGTATAGTACAAAATATGAAGATCTTTGAAATTAATGAGAGAAGGAGGTTGAATGCAATTATTGAATATCTTACCTAAAAGTCTAAAATTGAAATAATGAACTATTCAACTACATAGTCATCTATCTCGCATATTCCGAGCTTTTGAAAGATTGATGTTTTGATATCTAACACATATTTTTGTCATTATCACAGGATATAGAATCATATCGGACTACGTATTCATTTTTCAAAAGAGGCGAAAAAACTGAATTTATATCAAAGTAATAAAACAGTTGAAATAACTCTGTATATTTTCATGTTCTAATAATTCGGTAAATAAATTCTATGGTTGTTTTGAAAAAAATTGAATGAAGGTTCCGTTAATTCGATGAGATTTACCTTAAACTTCATGAAACTGTATCTGTCTTACATAACAAAGACGTTACCAATAAATTTTGTCAAAACAAATCAGAATATTTATTTCTTATTTTCTCTTGCCTCACAACCAACTATAAGTTTTTATTATCGGATTAGAATATTAAATTTAAACGAAGTAACTCTGTCGTATTCAAAAACACTTGATGAATTGTTTTGAGAGTGATTTTTGGTTAATAATTAGATTTAAGAAAGTTGAGTTTCTGGAAAGAAGATTCATCTTTAAATATGATTTTATAATCAGTCCTAAAGATAGATTCGTATACTTATTTGTTTGTGAACTCCTCCACATGATATATAAACATAATAAATTAAGTTCATGTTTTATTTGCACCACAATTTTTTGTTTTTAGAGTATGTATTGATGTACGAACATAATTAAAGAAAGTTTTCTCTTGACTGTCATATTTATTAAATAAAGAAAAACTATGTCTTTAGAAAAGCTTTTATCGATATTTTTTATCTTTCGGACCAAATCGATTCTTAAATTTGTCGACCTTAGGTCGTTTTGGTAGAGTATTGAACAGTCCTGAACGAGCTGACTTCGCTTCATTCATATATCGACTTTTATCATCACTTATCAATGACAATCCACCATGAAGATGTGTTGAGAGATAATAATGTTGATGATCTCTTTCGAGTGTAGGAGAAATGACTGAGTATAAGTAATGATCCATGCTAGTGTAGGTTTCTTTGTATTCCATAGGTTGTTTTAAAAGTTGGATAATACTATACTTTCCTGTCCTCTTTCTGCCGATGATAAGTATATTCAAAGATGAAAGATCCTTAGTATCATTCTCTTTTATTGATTGGTAAGAACCTCTCCAAGCAAAGGTATTTTCAAAGTTTTCAGGAACAGGTTGGTCATTATTGTGTAAATACACCCAAGAGTCGATAGCTTTGTTTTGAGCAATTTGCTCAAGAGTAGGCAATTGAAGTTGTTGTTTTTCAGAAAATGAAGATAGACAACATTCATTCACTACTGTTAAAGTATGGTGACGAAATCGTGAACTATAGATAGTTGCATTCGAAAAAATAATCATAAGTAGAGAGAAGACACTTTCCACTTTATCGAAATCCTGCAAATCATATTTTTTATCGGTAAGAGCTATAATGAATTCTGCAGCTGTATCTCGTGCTTCGGAGATATTTTTCACTTGATGATATTTAACATGACTTGGTCCGAAATGATTAGTAAAATAATTTGATAAAAATGAATATTTATCTGTTAAACGAGGAGTTGGAAATGAATTCACATCAAGATAATGTAAGAGTTGAAGTGTTTCCAATATATTTTCATCTTCAGGTAATTCATTAAATAGTTTATACGGTTGTTCAGATGTGAGTGAATTAAGAATAATCATGAACGAAGTATAATTAATTGGAGGTTTTAATATATATTCACCGATCTGGTTTTGAATTGATGAAAAATCATTTTTATTTGCTACAAGAGACGATAAATAAGGAATACGATCAAGTTGTTGTTGAGTAAGATGAACATGTTTATCAGAATTGTCAAAACGAAATCTATATGTGGGTTCTATATTTGAATGGATTGTTTCAAATACACTTGCCATTGTTTGTAACGTTAATTTCACTAAATAATCAACTTTATTCTCACTGCTGACAATATTTATTGCGCAGACAACAGAATAAAACGAATATTTACTGCCTTTTCGCTTTTAAAACAATGAATCATATAAACATGTTGGTTTTTTCTATGCTGTGTGTTCTTATCGAATACGCTTTATGAATAGAATGATTAAAGTAGGAAAAAATCCATCGGTGTACGCTGTTTTGTTAAGCAAAGATGTTAAGAGAAAAAGAGTTTCATGAAGCATGTAAATATTAAAAGAGACTCTTCAAATAAAAACTCGTGGTTAAATAACAGCCTTTACTGTTGCCCTAATCGAACAAGCACGCTCAGAAACGACCGTGAATCGTCTCATTTTCGCATATTATATGGCTCCATCTTACGATCGTCTACATATCTACTTCTGAAAATATATCAAATCAACAAGATTACCTTAGGAAGAAATTCAAGACGAAAAACATTTCTGATGATGTTTATGATTATTTCATATGACGAGTTTATCATGACTGTCACAGAAATTTTTCACTCTCAGGCAAGTCTAAGAGGATGGGGTCTTAATAAAGTGAAGATCTTCGCCAGTCACACTCAAGTTGCATGAAAATTCATTCGAGAAATTTGTTAGACTTTCGATACAAAATCTATTTGTTATTTGCATTTCGAATTCTTATCGAATTATTTGATTAGAGGACATTAGTGGATGACTTTCATATGCACCAGATTGCACACTTACTTGTCTCATATTTCATTTTTCGTCGTTTCATTGATGAAGATGATCTATGCGGTAATAACTATTTATGATTAGCTACATGGATGTTAAAGTTTTTGTTTCAAAGAAATCTCAGTAAAATCCAGTGGATTAATACAAGTAATGATCTATCATAGTGAGAAGTCTCACATTTCTTCAATAGCGAAAACAATATCGCACACTGTTTTCAAAGAAGCTTCGAAAGTCACGAAACACCAAAAAGTTCAACTTAGTATGTTTCATCGATTCAAAATGACGATAGATCCACACACGCCGATAACATTGAATGCAAATAAACATTTTTCTTCTGCTCCATTTTTTCTGAATAAGAAGGTTAGCCGATGAGAAGTTGCCAAGAACATCACATTTTCTATACCAAACAGTCGACTGTTCGAAGTCTCTCATTAGTTTGTAAATTTTATCGATCGTCTCATAAATCTCGAAAAATCAGGGATGATCAATGGGAAGAGTTGTCTGTGCAATTTTCAATGCTGTTTGAGTATGATCCAATGCTCGCTGAAGATTTCGATCTCGAAGCTTAAGCAACAAATTTGCCAGACACAAATTATAAAACACTAAATCTGGATGTGTCGGTAATAATTTATTCTTCATAACTTATAAAGCTCTTTCACGATATTGAATAGATATTCCATAGTACTTTGGTCGCGCAAAGAAATCAGCCTTATAATGATAACACAATGCCATATTTGAATGATTTTCACCCAAGCTTGTCTGATAGATTTTTCAGAACTTTATTGTATTAGTCAAGAACTTGTTTTCGCTTTTTTCATATAATTTGAGCGATCGATGGTTCTATCGAGCGCATTCTTCATTTCGATGACACGAAAAATACTACCAGCCATGAACACAATTTCTTCTTCAATTGGAAAGTTACTGAAACAAGCTATATTAACAAATGGTTGTACACTGCCAGAAAAACGAGAGAATTCGCTTAAATTTGAAGTAATATTCCAATTTCATTATCATTATTGACTTCGGTCATATAAAATTCAGCGATACTTCGTTGAAATAAAAGAATTCATAGAAATGCAATGATCTATTGCCTTGGACAGTTATTTCCATTCTTCTTTTGAAATTTGTTGACTACGATAGACTCGTACAAGAGATTGTTCTTGATAAATAGTAAGTTGTTTTTGCATGTCTTGTAAGAAGAATTGATGGATAAATTTGAATAAGAGAATTCAATTGACGACTTGATTCAAACAAACATCTTTGACCTATTTAAATAATTGATTCATATTATAGATCAATGAAAAATGAACAATTCACTTTCATATATTCAGCAAAGAACTCATTTCGGTGATTCATACTTGATGAATGGATAATAAAGATAATCTTTATCGGACAAAGATAATGTACACGATAGATTAATTCTTCTTCATATTGTTCTTGAATAAGTATTATTACTTTTGCATTGATAGCTAACACATTCAATAAAATCTTCGAAGAAGAAGCGAATATTATATCTTTCTAAAGATAGGATTTGTTCTGCACATTGTTTATCTTGTAATAGAATAGACTGAGATTGCTCATCGTCCCAAACAATATCAAAATTGATCAGCAGATGCGTTTTCATTTATTGAGGGTTGATCTGTATGCAAGCGATAGTTCGAACCTTGTTTAAGAAAAAAGGCATTCATGTTAGATGTTTTAACAGACGGTGTAGGTGAAGAAAATACTCACACCCCACACCCACCGACATCTCACACTCAAAATGTTGAATTTTTATGGATTATTTCATGAAAACTTCAATGAAAAAAAGATTTTTTGAACCATAGCGAACAAAAAGAAAATATTATTTATTGGAACGAAAAAAATTTCTCTTTTTTTTCCTTCAACATTCTCTCTGTGTCTTGACTAAAAAACTAAAGAAGTATAATACCGTAATGGGAAAAACAGAATGATGTAAAATAAGAATATATATCATTTTACAAATTTATCAGTCATTCTGATGATATCATTATATAATCACAAACTTATATGTTTATTCTCTTACAGAAAATCCATGATTAGTTGCATGATGCATATATCCCATTCTTTTACTTTTACTATTACAAAATGTCCTTTATGGTGAGTAACTTATGTTTGACTGCTAATGGTATATGAAGTATAGTATTAATTAATCATTTACTTGAATAATTCTTCTAACCAACAGTCTAATATTATTTGTATAATGAGTGATGCAAAAGTTCCTGTCCAAGTGTCGGTCTATTTCTCATTGACTAAAATATGTATGGACAAATTCGAAAGTATTTGTCCAGAATTGACGTCGAAAGCATTTTCTAACTATATGTTCAACAAAATTCTATCATATCTTGTTTTTCAGTAAGGAGAGCGTCTTTAAACAACACTAAAATATATTCTGTAAAAACAGCCCAAATTAGTAGACGCAGAAAAAACAAATCTCTCAATATTTCTTTATTCTGTCCAATGCAATCGATTCTATGTCACTGCTACTTTTTGCAACTGGATACATCGTTCAATTCTCTGCAAACTTGATACAGTTTGGAAAACAATGATGTAAGAAATAACGTTATAACTGAATTTGAAAACGGTGATAAACCGATAAAAGTTTTTGAAGTTCGACTGGCACCATGTTTAATGAAACCAATTGAAATGATGGCTACGAATGACTTCAGATACTCGCTTTATGAATATATCTGAGCCAATAACTAGAAATGACAAATTCAAACATCAATCTGAAAATGGCTAAAGGTTCGAGTGTACGTTTTCTCAATGTTATTTCAAAGAATTCCATAGTATTTAGCGCATGATTTTTCGAGAATAGAGACGATAATTTGATAGAGCAAAGATAAACACCATCTTATGCAATGAACCAAAAGAAATCAAAAAAATACTGTGAGATTAATACCTTGTATGGCATTTCGTTTCCTTTTACAGGTCACATTTTAATACTGCTTAAAGACGTACTTCTTACCGAAAGACGAGACATGATAGAATTATTCCTAACATACAGTTAGAAAGAGCTTTTGATGTAGATTCTGTACAAGTACTTTCTAGTTGACCCACACATGTTTTAACTGATAAAAAATGAACTGACATTTGTCCAGGAACTTTTGTATCATCTGTTATATCGATGACTACTACAGTTATTCATTTTACATCTGTTAATATTATACTTAATAAAGTTTTAATGAAACCATGCATAGGATGTCGATGTGATTCTAGTTCTCTTCGTTCACATCCACATCCTCACACTCTTCGATTTTCTCAGCAATAAAATAGAAGCTAAAAGAACTAAGTAAGCACCATTTAAAGATCATGATCTAATGTTTCTAGTAAGATAAAATGTTTGCTTCAGTCTTCTATTACAAAAAAACTAGATAGGTTTACAAGAATACTCAGATACGTATTATGAAATATGCTCGAGCTATGTATGATAGTCAGCATTTTNTTTATAATGAGAAAAGAAAAAGAACGAACAAACAGCTATGAAAGCAAATAAACAATTTATATTATAACGCAACAAAAAAACAATATGTTCATGAAAAAAAATGGAAGTGAACTTATTCATCAAAATATAGAAAGCTGTTTTAGTATATAATGACAATCACACAGTACACTAGCATTTGTACAAATGTGGATTCAGAGGAGGAACACACATGCATCCGCATAAAATGCATCTTCGAATTTTTCAAAAAAATTCGACTATTGTCTTATACATACATAAAAGAGTCAATCTTACGATATGTAACAGTTTTATATGATATCAAGGAAGAATAGTTACATATCTAAGTTGTATCCCGAACTTCTTAAATATTGGTGTGTTGATATCTAACACGTCCTTGGTTATTATCACAGGCATGTAGGATCATACTGGGTTAAATATTCATTTTTTTTAGAGAACACATGAAGAAAATAAATAAAATATCAGGATAATAAAATTGTTGAAATGTGTCGTATATATTTCCATGTTCTGACAATTTGGTAGGTTATATGGTTGTTTTGAGAAAATTGCGTGAGAACTTACGTGTCGACTAGATTAAAAACTCGATTTGTATTCAATACAGCAATAGCTAAATGAGGAAAATGATTAAGTTGTTGGCGAATAATATGCTATTGCGGATAATGTCTATTTTACTCTATATATGATAATGATAAAGGTTCCGTTGATCCGGTGAAATTGTATCTATTTCTCCCATAACAAAGAATGACATATAAACATAATAAATAAAGAATATGTTCTATGGTATACAACAATCTTTTGTTTTTAGAGTATGTATCGTTTCACGAATACAATTAAAGAAATATTTCTCTTGACTTTTTTATTTATTAAATAAACAAAAACTATTTTTTTTAGAAAAGTTTTTATCTGTATTTTTGATCTTTTGGAGCAAATCGATTCTTGAATTTGTCGACTTTTGGTCATTTTAGCAGGGTATTGAACCATCCTGATCGAGCTAATTTTGCTTCATCGATGCGTAGTTTTTTATTAGTAAGATTATTATCCATAGACACTTCATTACCAAGGATTTAAAACAGAGAAGATTTTCATTTATTAATGATGATCATCAAATGTTTCAGTTTTACATCATAATCTTTGTTAAAATAATTCCAAAGTCGAAGACTACTAAAATCAAATTCTTGTATTGGTTTATAAACATCTCTACATGGAAATGTATTTTTAACGTTTTCAGGAACAGGTTGGTTATTATCGTGTAAATAAACTCAAGAGTCGATAGTTTTATTTTGAGCAATTTGTTGAATAGTAGGCAATTCAAGCTGTTGGCTTTTAGAATAATGAAGATAGACAACATTCATTCACTACTGTTAAAGTATGGTGACGAAATCGTGAACTAAAGATATTCGCATTCGAAAAAATAATCATAAGTAGAGAGAAGACACGTTCCACTTTATTGAAATCATGCAAATCATATTTTTTATCGTTAAGAGCTATAATGAATTCTGCAGCCGTATCTCGTGCTTCGGAAATATTTTTCACTTGATGATATTTAACATGACTTGGTTCGAAATAACTAGCAAAATGACTTGATAGAAATGAATATTTATCTCTTAAACGAGGAGTAGGAAATGAATTCATATCAAGATAATGTAAGAGTTGAAATGTTTCCAATATATTTTCATCTTCAGGTAATTCATTAAATAGTATATATGGTTGTTCAAATGTGACTGAATGAAGAATAATCATGAATGAAGTATAATTAATTGGAGGTTTTAATATATATTCATTATTGTGGTTTTGAATTAATAAAAAATCATTTTTATTTGTTACAAGAGCAGATAAATAAGGAATACGATCAAGTTGTTGTTGAGTAAGATGAACATGTTTATCAGAATTGTCAAAACGAAATCTATATGTGGGTTCTTTATTTGAATGGATTGTTTCAAATACACTTGCCATTGTTTGTAACGTTAATTTCACTAAATAATCAACTTTATTCTCACTGCTGACAATATTTATTGCGCAGACAACAGAATAAAACGAATATTTACTGCCTTTTCGCTTTTAAAACAATGAATCATATAAACATGTTGGTTTTTTCTATGCTGTGTGTTCTTATCGAATACGCTTTATGAATAGAATGATTNGACCTCATTCACTGCTGCTGTTTTACCAATCTTTCCAAGCGCTTCACAGGCTGCTCTTCTGACGGGCCAAAATTCAGCTCCAAGCCCATCGATGAGAGTAGCAATTACCTTATCCGTTGCTGCTTTTGCACCCATGTTTCCAAGGGCTCTACAGGCTGGCACTCTGAAGCTTGAGCTTTGATCTAGAAGTGCATTAGTGAGAGCAGTAATGACTTCGTTGGTTGCTGCTTTTTCACCGATGTTTCCAAGGGCAACACAGGCTTCCCCTCTGACTTTCCATTCTTTATCTGAAAGTGTTTTGACCAGCCCAGCGATGACCTTATGCGTTGCCGCTTTTTCACTAATGTTTCCTAGAGCTGTACAGACTCCATATCTGACAAACCAAACTTCATCTTCAAGTGCGTTGATAAGAGCAGTGATGATCTCATCGGTTACTCTTTCCCCAATAATGTCTTTAAGTAGATAACGGGCTTCATCTTCAAGCGCATCGTAGTCAACTCGCATTACATTTATGAGAGCATTAATGACCTCCACCGTTGCTATTTTTCCTCCCACATATGCGATGGCTAGACAGGCTCCTTTGCGGATGTCCCAATCTTCATCTCCGAGTCCTTTAATGAGAGTAGTGATGACTGCTTCGGTTCCTCCTTTTTCACATAGATTTTCAAGAACTTCTTTGATTTCGTATGTGGAGCTTCCATATTTTCGTTCGAGTCCTTTGATGATCTTTGTGATGACCTCATTCGTTGCTGCTTTTTTACCCATCTCTCCAAGGGCCTTACAGGCTTCGATATTGACGCTTGAATATTCATCTTCTAGAAGCGTATTAGCGAGAGCGGTAATGACTTCGTTGGTTGCTGCTTTTTCACCTATATTTCCCAGAGCCTTACAGGCTTCCAGTCTGACATATTTAACTTTGTCTCCGAGTGCGTTGACGAGAGCAGTGATGACCTCGCTAGTTGCTGCTTTTTCACCGATTTTTTCAAGGATAGTACAGGCTCTCCATCTGATTTGAGAGTCTTCATCGCGAAGTATGGTGAGAACGATACGAAGATTTTCTGGCTCGGGTTGTAAAACTGTTAGCTGTGTCAGGAGCACTGATGCGAACTGGCTTGCATTTGAATGATTAGTTTTCAAAAGTTCTATGAGCTTCTTCTGCAAAGTGAGGTTATGAAGTATAGATTTAGTACGACTGAATGACTCGATGATATTCCATCTGGTTCTTAATGGTGCATGCTTAGCATATATATCTAACGATTGGCAAACCAGCTGCAGCAACGCTTCTCGCTTAGGAAAGTCTAAGTCTTTTTGAATTTCGTTGAGACAGAAGATGATAAGTTGCAAGTGTTTTATACCGACAAGATCTAAGGGTTCTTCTTGTACAGTTGACCAAAATATCTCGGTGCGTGATGCATACTCGGTTTTCAAGAGGAGTCCAGCAGCAAAAATGAACACTAAAAGATATCGCTGGTTATACTTGTTAAGATTGATAAAATCAATAGCTCTTGTTTTACCAGAGCCCTTAAGCGTTCGAAGTAAGTAGCGTGCTGCAAAATATTCTTGAAAGCTGAGATGAACAAAGTAATGTTGTTTTTCGGTGGGTACTTGATTGCCAGTGGGTTTATCGTCATATGATTTGAGAATTCCAATGTTCAACCAATCTGGATATTCGTCTAAAGCGTACTTAGTTTCGTTTTCCGTTTCGTCGAGAAGTGCTGGTGGCAAAATAATTTTGTTGCTTTCCATTGCTTTGAAGGCTAATACCTCTAAGAACAGCAACTCGGCATTGCATAGTTCAAAAACGGCTTTTTTTCTCTTAAGTTTATGATCCTTTTCTTGTCTTGTTAGATGTCGTCGGCATAACCATTCTATTATGTTATCATACAATGCTGTCATTGTCAAAGTTTTCGTTTTTGACCAATCATTATCACTCCAAAGACTGCATATCAATTCGAGATTCACAGGGATATGAGCAACACCCCAAATACTAGAATTTGACTTCAAAAAGGTAAGAAGATTTTGACCTTTGGTAGAAGTATCTTTCATGTCCTCTTTAATTTGATCGAAGAATTGTTCGATATACTTGGCAATATTATCATTTGTGAATCCTGTTATTTCCATTTTCACAACGTATGTTAGTGTAATCGCGTAAGGACGAGACGTCAGTATGTGATGTTGTGTGTCAAGTATATGATCGAATACCTTCTTTAAGTGCCCTGGGGGGTCTTGAGCAAACTCGTCATAACCATCTAGTATCCAAAGAATTTGACCTTTATCGAAATGTTCTTTGAGAAAAATGACTTCTTTCTTGGATAAATCATCAAAAGGGAAATATTCTTCCTTTACCAAATCAATTGGTAAGTATTTCTTTCCAGATGGATAGTTACTTTCTGTCACGTTTCGTAAATGAATCAAAATAAGCAGTTTATATTCGGGCCATAGGTCGCCTTTTGCCCATTGGTACGCAATATATTGACAAAATGTTGATTTCCCGATTCCAGCTCGTCCCAGTACTAACACTTTCTTTGTCTGATCTTTACATTTTTTAAGAATGTCTGCGGCATCAACTGATGTCTTTGTACCATAGATGTCTTCAAAGGTACTTATAATGCCATTGTAGTCCTGTTTCGATCTCTTAGTCTGTTCATCTTCTTCTTCATGCTTATTTTCTTCCTCTTGTCCTTCTAGCTTTTTCTCTTTCTCTTGTTGTTCTTTTGTTTCTACTATAGCCAAATTAATGTAACTTTGTTCAATCGGGAAACTTCGCTCATTCATCAGACGTTTAATTTGAGTTTTTTGTAGATATTTTTGTCGAATGTTTTCGAATGGCTTGGCTGGTGGAGTGTTATGCGTTGAAGTTGAATGTTGATTTTTTATTTTACTAATAAGCTCTTTCACTTTCTTAGCTTTCTTATCTTCCTCTGCTTCAGAAAAACTGGATAGATCTACGGCTATTATAGAGCTAGTAATAATGTCTAACCATTTGCCAGGAGATGGTTTCCACACTTTTCTGTCAGTAAGCATACATGGAATGATGTGTTTTCCGAGCTTTTGTGCATATTCCAATTCAAGTTTACAATTCCGAGACTCCTCGTATTTTTTTGTCATAAAACAGCAAATGACTGACGCATTGTATACTGCTTCAGCCATACTAAACATCAAAACACAAAACAAAAATTTTAAGGAAAAAAATCTTTTGTAATGAGATTTATACCCGTCGTACATATTGTCGTCCAGATCTCGCTCATCGAACCAAACAGGAATTTTATCCGCTGTTAAAATATTGTAAACTTCTTTAACGATATCTTTACTGCCATGCTGGTAAGAAAGCATAACATGCTGTCTTTCATCGACCGCCATAGGTTAATATACCGCGTAATCCGAAAATTGGTAGTGAACAATGATAAGTTGCTAAAGAAATCATAAAAATTGGTTATAATAAACATGATGTTGACTGCACGAAGAGCTATCAATGCATCCTTAATTAGCTTAATACTTGAGATGTTCTATATAGGGGGTATGTTGTTGGCATCAGTCGCATTTTTATGTAAGTCTTTGCCGAAATGTTGTTCACCGAAATACAAACTGACGATGAAACCAGCCCCGATGCTACATTTAGATTTCAATGATCTTCGGTTTATATGTACAACAAAGTACTCCACTAAAGAGTTTGAAAGGATTCGGATTTTTAGGGCTTTCTTCAAAAGCTATTAATATATTAGCTTTGTCTCGAGAA